GAGTCGGCTCTAAAACTTTCTACTTTGATTGAGTGCACACAAACCCTATAATTTTGAAAATTAATTCTAGCTATAATTTGAATTCGCTCAGAAGCAGTTCATAGTTCAAGTTTTTGCGTAATGGCGTAATGTTATGAGCAATATTTTAATTGGCCAATCACATGTACGGGGTACGATAGTTTCACTTATTGTAACTACGTAAGATTTGCATAACTTGCTAATTGCTCTAATTGGAATGGTTATTGTGAAATTAATATAAATAGTTTAGGTACCACAATTTCTGACGTCAAATTATTTGTTTTTTTCGCAAGTTCCAGTTCAATTGGAACGATATTTACGATTGTTTTTCAACAACTAATAAATAAATTAAATTAAAAAATTACGATTCGTTTTGTCGATCTTCTTGGGTTAAATAAAATTACCAAAATCTTTTGAATAGGTATCAAATATTGAGGAGTACTTACGACAGCCCGTTCTTCTCATTTTTATGGCCATCTTATGAAACTATACGAGCGAAGCAGACGATTTTTAAATTATGCTGGCTTCCCAATAAGGTAAATTTAAATTTGTTTAGTTTCTTTTTAATTAATAGACAAAAAAAATAAGCTCATTCGTTGAAGGTGAGCGATTATCAAATTATCTCCACCTCGCCAAATTATCTAATTACATTGCATAGGAACTAAGTTCCGATAAACAGCCACACTTCATATGTGGTCAAAGTTCCAGCCGCCTGTCAAGGAGAACCGAAAGAAGGAAACATTTTAATACAAAATAATCACAAAAAACGAATCAAAGTCGGAGGTCAACAAAAAAAAAACGCCTCACAACTTTTTATTAACAATAATTGCCTACAAATTGCACTATTCTATACACATTAGCGCTCGTATCAATTACTCAAAAGAAATTATTCGAATGATCATGAACCGTATTAGTAAAAAGGCTATTGAGCAAAAATCTCACATGCAGAGACATATCATTTGGACGTGTTCTCACGAACACTAAAAATCAAGTACCAATCATTACACAGAACCCCGTGAACTGACACGTAGGTATATTAATTCCAATAATGACTGTCCGAATGAGCCTTCTTTCGTCACACACCGTATAGAAAACATCAAATACATATAATTAGAGGCATCTATAAACTACGGTAATTGTGAATCGTCTTCTTTAATTACGAAGGCCGGTATCGAAGGTTGTGGAAGAGGGGCTTGTGAAATATATTTTGTTAGCGATGAACTGGACATGTATTGACATACTAATCGACTAACTGTGCACGACTATGTGCTAATTAAAGTGTCGGTGTAACGTATCGTCCCGTAATTAGAGATACTTTCGTGTTGTACTTTGCCAATTACGATGTTCTAATTAAGAGTTCTGTTTTATGGGTCACAAAAATTCTTAGCTTGGTCTGAATTCAATGTTTTGTTTGGATTGCATTGGCTAATTAATCACACGAACATTTACGATGGAGCTATGCATACGGGCAGTCTATTTCTAGGTCTTAACGATGCTTCGAGATTAATTGGACCTGCTTACAGGATTTCATTAGGATTTTAACAACACCGTTTAATTTCATTGCTTAAGAGAATTTTGACCAAAATTTTTGTTCAATTTGTGACGGGATATATTCTCAAAGCCTTATCAACTCCTAGACTCTAGTTGCTGTCTAAATAACTTTACTATGTAGAAATTGTCACAATGTTGGTCAATGTGTTAATATTTACGAGAGCAATGTATCCGTATGCTAAGAGTAATCGCCGCACATTCCGATACACAAAACATCAGACGCTGAGCATCATTATACAATGACAAAAGAACCTTGTGCAACTAGTTAAAATGTATGCTCTCCTGGTACTGACAGAGTAACAATGCAGTGGTTTATACAAGAAAATGTACTTAGACATAGATAGACTGAAATAAAAATGCTTTAAAAAATATGAAAATTTGTTTGTTATGTAAATGGTTTTCTTAAATTGGAAGGATAGAAAAGTTACTAATAGCGGATCATATAGCTTGAAGGATTTATTGATTTTATATCTTTAATTTTTCTTGTTGAAGACTCATTGTTATGTAAGTACCTTTGTTTAGTGATAAAGTAGGTTTGAACATTGAGGTTTTGGGCACGAATCACAGATTAAGCAATTGTGAATTATGTTTTGGACCTTAGCCATAACATCCCCTTTTATTACACTGCAACAACAAATATAAGCCAAACACTAACCTAGATTCACTGACGAACACACTGATACTTGTATTGATGTTTTTTGATTTTGACTAACAAAGAAAAGCGTATCAGATTTCCACCTTCACAGAGCAGAAAATGCTTGATCTGAATGCATGTTAAAACCATCATTAACACATTGTTCCACATACATCTGCAGACGCTACCGATCGGTTCCACAAGCACTAACCTTATTCCGCATCACAATAACGCTCTCTGATCATTTCCAAGCGCATTTCTTGCAATCTTCGACTATTACAACTGTATTGTTTAATGCCTGATGATGTTCAACTGTCGTAGATATTGTTCTAGGAATATTAGATGCAATTTATGTAAATTGTATTGTATCTCGTATTGTATTGGTAGCTAAGTTGAAATGGATCTGAGATTTTGTTGTTAAGACTTAGTTGTATTTGATCGAATTGTTCCCAATTCGATTCGAGTCTGTATCTTTTGTTTTTATTGTGTAAGAAGTATTTTGGATTAAAAAGTATCGATTTGGATGACGCTGATTTGTAGAAATTGGAATCGTACTTCGCAAAATATTGTTTTTCTCTTATTGTGTCAATATGTAGTATCTGCAAATTGTTCGATACTCATTTTCCCCATAACTATTCTGTAAGTTGTTAGGGCACAAATTTTATCATATAAAGCCTTTTTCAAAAATCATAATCTTTTAGAATAAACTATTTTTTAAATTATAGTTTAAAGACCTACAAACTCGCCTAGTGGTCAGCAACTATGAGGATTAGCAATCTACTGACTCAAGACTTCTCATAAAGTATGTACTCAAATACTCAGAGCAATACCATCCTCAAAGAAACTTGAAATAAAATGTTTCATGACAATGTGCGAAATAAAAGATGATTAAATTGAAAATATACAACAATACCACAATAAAAATTACGAGCTGCTTCATTCCTAATTACTTCAAAACTTGTCAGTAACAAACAAACTCGGATGCTCTCATCTGAAAAGGTATAGATTGGCATTCGTATCATATTGAACGTTTCTTTTTGTGCAATAAACATTCTATTCAATCTTTTGTTGTAGTGTTTAATCGGAAACATTGTTATGATTTTGTAAGAGATCATCGAGTAAGTACGAGTTTTCGTGTTGCGTATGTATTCTTGTACTTTCCTCTAATATGTACTTGTTGATGGTATGGAGAATACTTAATATCGGATAGATTACTAAATTTATTCTTTATTAACTGGGAATAAAGTTGAAATTTCCTGTTTTCCTCACCTAATCTTGTGAATTAAGTGTGTAAAGTTCAACAAGTTACAATGTCTTATTCATGAGCAGAAAAAGTCGATATTTTCAATAAATTTTGCCTCACGATAGTTACTTTACAAAAAAACTTTTGTTTTATATTCATTATGCCATACGGTACAATTAAGTATTAAATTCCTAAGATTCAAAAGAAGTGAAGTGCTAAAACCAATAATGCTAATTTATAAATAATGTATTACAATGTTTTGCTGTAGTTCTATTATAACATTTTTTTATTCTAATTAAAGAATAGTCAATTGGCTAAATCATTCTAGAAATCATTGTCAATACCACCTAAACTAGTGAGAAAAACTGACTGAGAACAAAAAATAAAACAACATAAAATTTTGACAAGGATCTAAAGAAATGTATGAAATGCACGTATCGTGATAATATTTGTAGAAAAAAATATTTTACTCAACAGGATACTAATATTACTAATATTATAAATGTGTCAGTTTGTGAGAATATATGTTTGTTATTCTTTCACGTCAAACCGGTTGAAATTTGCTATGTAGTAACATATGTGATAACCTATACAAGTTCCGGTTATGTAACTAGGTACATAGGTTACTGTTTTCAACTTTTCACACGGGTTAAGCCGCGGGCGGACGCTAGTAGGATTATAATAAATCTCAGTTCACCTAATAACTATATTCTAGCATAACTAAGCAGCTAAATGATAATCAAAAGCCTATAGAAACAGTGAATAAAAGCTGTTTATGAAATATTTAGTCCATTACAGGAACGATAGTGTAAAGTCGATACTTGTATGTCGGTTTCGTGCGCTCGCGCCCATTAGCTGCGCTTACGCAACACGCATTTAGTTCAATAGTTACAAGCGATTCTGGGGAAATGCTGTAATTTTGTATATTGCAGTTTAGTTATGTACCTTAATATTGTAATTATATGTAAGTAGCCAATAAATTTTTATTATTAAACTGGTTTTTTATGTAAGACGTTTTGACACTGTTTAGTAGTGTGAGCAAAATTAAATGTATGATATATAGAATAAAATCGATTAAACGCAATATTAAATGTTAATTATTTAATGTTGCTTAAAAACCTTCCGTATTTTTTTTTATATGACGTTAACATAATGAAACAATGTCCTAGGTACACAAATTTAAACTGTAGTGAAGAATACGACTCACAAATAATTTTTGATGTTCCTTTTTTCATTTGCACCGAGAATTCCAAGTGTTAAGAATTGTATATAAATCAGTGTCTATAGGATTGTTCACATGACAAAAGTGTATAGAACACTATAGATACAAGTTGCTAGCTTATCTTTTATTTATAGCCAGTACAGTAGCCCGCTTCCCTCATTTCAATTTTCAACGTAAACTGAAATACCTGTATAATAAATAAGTCCGATAGTTTTTATATCACTAAAACCTTTTTACAAATGTCTATGGTTTTATTTGAATACCAAAGACAAATAGATGAACTGTCAAACGATAAAATATTAACGGTTTTATGTCAATCGAATATTTTAAAAATGAAATATTTATGTTTAATATTATTTCTGCAAATACCGGTTAAAGAGTGTGCTATAGATATCAATGTACAAGAATTAGTTTACATCGCTGATCATTTGACTGCAGCCGAATGTCGTCGACTCTTTGCTTCTTTGCATTTTGCATCTTACAAACTTCCAGCGACTTTATCTGATGCAGAAAAGAAGGTTCCTAAAGATGTGCCTTGTATAAAGCTGCTCATGAAATGGAACAGCGGTAACAAAACATTTGAAGGTAAAGGCAAAACTCATGCTGTAGTGGAACACAGACTACGACAACTAGGTAAACATGAACTCGCAGATTGGTTGGGGAAGCTAGTGTTCCATAAATTGGCTAAACATATCAATAAGTCTTTAGAAGATGAATCGTATTTCGAAGCACAAAAGTCGGGCACTAATAATAATCAAACATATTTCGAAGACAAAGATTCAAGGTTTACCGGTCAACGATGGACAACTATAGACTCCATACTGAGTGTGACTTTATGCAGTATGCTTTGCATGACAGTATCAGCGTTCTATCGTATGCTGAAACTCACTTTTAGAAGAGCTAAAGCCAAACGTAATACATGTAAAGAACGAGAGGAAATGGTAGATTTAATGAGTGCCGTGTCTGTAGATAGTGATCAAGAGACCCTTTATGAATATGATGTAGAAAATGGAAAAGCGAATAATGTTAGTTACGATATGGATGTTGATAAGATGTCAAGTGAAGATGATCACGAGAAATAGGCTAACGATATAACACTTGTATTAAAGTAATTTATGTTATTGTCTTTTAATTATTGTTTTACTTTTTACTTACTGTTGCTTATTCTAGATTATTCTTATTCAATGACAACTACGCTATTGAATCCTTCAGCAATTTTAATAGAACTTGTTGTACCTATTCCATTGTCACTATCGCCTACAAAATTATCCGTAGTCTATCAATTAACATTGGCTAAGTTAATTCCTTGAATCAAAGCACAGCTACCTGTCGCTAACAAGGCTGTGTGTAGCAATGCGCGCACGCAGGCATCGGCCGTGTCATCGCGGCGCGCGCGCCGATAAGCCTCATTAGTGACCGTCCTTCTTAACTTCATCAGCCGATACCATTAACTGGGGATATCGGACCAAAGTGGGTTGGCTAAATGGCAAACTTTAGTACTTTACTGAATCAACAACGGAATATTGCACACACATTTTGTTGCCTTCAACACAAACGGAGGTGTGATATTACTGTCCTGTATCACGTGTTCCATAGTTTCTGGATAGCCGCTATTCAACTAATCAATTTGGGTACTAAGTAATACAACATCTATCACTTTTTTGTATAAAAATTTTTGAGTTGTGTGAATCTGCCGTTAGTGTAAAATCAATAATTTAGTCTCTTAGCTTGAGGAAGTGTCAGACTCTAACCACCACGTCTGACTAAAAACCACCACGTCTGTTTTTCCTGTCTCCATGCTGGGGTCCCGGTACATTTTTGCGCAACGCCGGCTGAGATGTGTGTATAAGCTATCTATAGAAACAATTTAATGGCCATACACTACACCATAACCATGCTAACATTATGAACACGAATATCTGTATGGTTGAGTAAAACTACTGAATAGACAGAATAAAATTTGGTACAGAGATTGATGATAGTTTGGAATAACGGATGGACTATTTTTACTCTGGTACCGTGGATGAAGCCACTGACAGAGACAAATATGAAAAACATTGCACGATCCGGATATTGGACCTTTGTAAGCAAACGGAAACCAATCGTTCAACAGAGTAGCTAGAATAGATACCTAGATTATAACTAACTAAATTTAATATATAGGTAATAGCACTTTATACTAAAATCTTTGTTTTACTGTTATGGTGTTAAATGGTTTCTGAATTGTCATAACCAATTTATATATTTGGTTATAACATTATTCTTGCATTAATAATTGTAAATCACACGTTTTATGCGACAAATTACAGAATACATTGATTGCGTAGAGTATTTATTGTTTAATGTGGTTTCTGTTCAAGGCAGTAGCAAAAATATTTTCAGCCAGTATTTAATCTATTGACCTTATACCTTTAAACGACATTTAGTTACATTGTTGTATGGGTCATAGTGTACATTCTTGTGTTCATCTTGCAACTAAACCATGGTCGGGAAATTCAGCAACTCAACCAAATGGCTGGCTAATCAGGCCGTTAAAGAATGAGTAATTCAGTTAGCTGTAACACGCAGGATCTTTGAAACGGCTTTAATGATTTCGATACAATTTGTATGTAAAAAAGGGTTTCGAGGAGGAAAAATTAATCTAGCTCGATATCATTTTCAAAGCTTTAGTCATACAGATATTAGACCTAAGCAAAATAAAAGTAATTTATAAATGACGACGGTAAAAAATGTACTTTAAAGCAGTATTTTAAAATATTTTATTGCGTAAATTTTTTTCAAAATTAATCGAGGTTGTTCCGTTTGGGGTTTTAGTAGCTACAAAACAAGGTAAGAAGATCTATACTGCGTCTAACATAATAGGAAGAAATATAATTTCACACCTACAATAATAATTCAAGAAAATAATTATTCATATACCTCGCACGTCAACGAATAAATAACATAGTTATTAGGTATATTTCTAAGGAAATATTCAGTTTGAAATTACTATTATTTAGTGCCTTATTATCATTGAAATTGCATTTGTTTGTATGAACAGGCGCCGGGCGAATGTCTTTTCCTCTGAACATAACTTTGATTCAAATTAGGTACAGTCAAAATAAAATAAGTTATTGATATTTGTCAGGTAATAGCAACATTTTATTTTAGTAACTTAATTTGGCTTCGTTTAAGCCTACGGCGGTGTTTTAGTTCAAACAGATTAGTTTACGATTTTATTCCCATTTTAGTTGGTATTTATTTTTAGTTATAAGTTAGGTGTTTGCCTTTCTATTTCGTGAATCGATAGAATTGTAATATAGACTTATCAAATTCAAATTCATCAAGATATTTGAGAACGTTTGTGTTGATAAGTGCTTTCCTGATTTAGATAAGGGACTTTATTTTGGTGTTAGATATACAAAATAAAAATCCGAGAAACTGTCGAAATCACTACATAGTATAAAATAAAGTTGCTTTTTGGGACCCTATATTCCTTACGTATGCTAAAATCTTTAAAACTACGCAACGGATTTTGATGCAGTTTTTATTCGCAGATAGAGTTCTTAAAAAGGGAGGCTTAGAGGTATAATAATAGCCATAAAATAGTGGATAAATTTAGCACCAGCGTTGGACCCGTCCGAAGCCGGAGTTGCTAGAGCATGGAAAATAAATCACAAAGTTTTTAACATTAGTTAAAATCGATATCATATATATATCATATATATCGATCCATAGCACTTGACTAGCAACGACAAGACGCGACAAGGGAACAACCAAGCTAACACATCTTCATTACATACAACTTTACATAATAAAATTATTCATAGTGCTATCGGCGACTTTCACAACAAATATTTGTTATAATACCTATAATCTGTCGTATAATATACGTTCGTATACTGTAGCCTACAGGCGTGCCTGCCTGAATAAACATTAATTCGTGTAAGGTAACGCAAGGCGTCGCGTCGGTCGCATTTCGCAGACAACTAAATTAATGCGCTTAGCGAAAGTTGGGCTGAATGTTCAGTTAATAAATTCTGTAAGTCTATCTCTTTGTATCACTACTCAGCACCACTAAGTAGTAATACAAAAAAACAAACGTTTTATGCCATATTTCGATCTTACAGATCTAACAGTAATTAGAAAGTAAAGGATTTTAGACTTAGGGCCCGTTGAAGACTTTTGTCAACAAAAACAAAACACGACTCTCGCATTAATAATATTAGCAGAGATACTATTTTCAGTGTCTTAATAATAAACCTTTCTAAGTAAAGTGTAGATAATATCGTTAGCTTCTGGAAATTCCTTATAACCTTTTGAATACCAATAATAATATGGCGTCGCATATTTTAGTGATAGCCATCAAGTACGAAATTACCATCCTTCATCCATTGGATGGCATTTCTCGTTTTCTTATCGTAAATACTGTTTATTAAGAATTATGAATATTATGATTTAATGTCAAATAAATATCTTTATTCCAATCTTTCGGGAAAAATATTTGCGTATGATTTTATATTTAAATAGCATTCGATATTCGTATTCCTCAAAGGTGCGCGTTCGATCGTCTCAAAGAGACGTTAGACCACCACAAATAGAGCTGATGCGGATGAGCCAATGACGTAAAGATCGGAGAAGAAGTTGGAACGGGGTGATTTTTAGACAATAAAAGTCTGAAAAGCCATTGGATGATTTGACATTTAAAAAAATAGTCATGTTCAATTGCATTGTAGGAGTAATTCCTGTACTTTAGCTTGAGAATATCAGAATCAAATTAAGTTTAAGTCTTTTATATTTTGCTGACTCGGAGATAGCCTTGTTCGAAAGACATAATTATTACTTAGTTATTTTCATTGTTACTATAAAAAGATTTCTTTAAATATTGACTAAGGAAATATAATAAATATATGGTAACTTATATTTAATTGCATCTAAGTACGTGACAATAGCGGTGTATAAAGTACAGAAATGTCTCAATAAATACCGGTAATTGGGTATTTTTGCACGATACGTTATTGTCAACAATGGTGCAGCCAATTTAAAGAAACCTAGAGTATATACACATCGCGTTATATAAGCTATCAGTTTAGAAACATGTTTTAGGGAAGGGGTATATAGATAGAGGCCCATGATAGATGAGTTAGGCATAATGGCTATACTTTATTAAAACTTAAAAATAGAACTATCCTTCCCTATCTCTTATCTTTCCCATGTAACTAATTTATTTATTTTATTTTAACACTTTACGTAAATAAATACAAAAGCGGACTTAACGCCCAAAGGCATTCTCTATCAGTCGACCGCAAGGTTGGTGCAGAGGAGTGTTAATAACAGGTACTAAATAAGTAGTATATATACGACATATACATACATACAATACAAAAACATATGTCAATACAATAAATATACGAATACGTATATAGCATATAAATAATAATAAAATAAAAAAACAATACACTTATGTGTTGAATCTGACAATTTCTCTAGCAAGTATTTGAGAATTTTAAATTTGAAGGATAGCGGACTAGTTGCCGTCCTGATATCGTGGACCGAGTAATCCTTCACCACTCCCTGAATCTCCGAAACCCTAGGTATACCGCTTGCTATTTTGACGTCTTTTCACATAAAAAAACTAGCCACAAATGTGCAAAGTTTATAATATATAGAAATTTTAAGAAAAAACGTAGTAAATAATAACCAAAAGGCCAAAAGTCAAAACTAAAATTAATCCTGACATTAACAAACAAATACGCAATAATAAGCAAATCAAACACCAAAGACAAAGTTACAAATAGATTCAGAACGCACGTGCGCCATATTAATGGCGGACAACTTATATTTTGAAGGTTTTCATTTATTATTTTCTCGTATATAAGACAGCATACGATACACTCCAACAGTATCAGTACTTAGCCACAATGAATGTGGGTGCGTGGATTACAATAATCTTTATTTATTACCATTATTTCTATTTGAGTTAATAAATTGGCGGTTAGTTGAGGTATTCGAAATTCAAATTCGACAAGTGATGCCAGTGAGTTATTGGCAACGATTTGAATTTAGTTGTTTATGATATTGTTTTGTATTTAATTTCATATTTAGAATATCATTATTATTCGTTTTTAAGTGAATTATTGTAATCTGTGTCTAAGCGTGATTGTTGTGCACGAAGTGATATATTTTGTAGCCCAAAGTACTTGCCTAAAGTGTGTACATATTTTGAGGTTTTAATTACTTAGTAGTGTTTAGGATTATGACACGCTGTTGAATATTGTGCCCGATGTTTTACAGTTTAGTAGTAGTTTGTAGGGTTTAGCAGATCAGGCATGGTATTGTAATACTTTTTTACAAAGTAGCTTGTTGGCACTATTGCCAGAAAAGGTGTTGATGATACATGTAAGTAGTATTGTAATCGGTTTACGATTTACCTTAGTTGAAATTCTTATACAAAAATCGAATTATAGAACTCGCACATTTAGTAATCAATTCCCACTCATATCTCAAATACTTAGGACACATAAATCCATCAAAATTAGCAGTAGAGAAGTTATAAAAACTACATAGAACACACTGCCGACTTCCGTTGCCACCGGAACTGTGGGACATCAAAAGATTTCGACGGTTCTCACGACTACCCTGTAGTGTGAACTAGGTTTATAATTGTAAGCTCGTTAAAACCTCATCGGATAAGCCTTATTACTGATTAAAAGAGTTTATGGCTTCAATAATTACTTCGAAAGCAAGCCGAAGAACAACCGCCCGATTTAAAAGTATATGGGTCTAATTAATTTTCTATAAAAAACTAATCGTGATGTGGTTATGAGATGAATTTATTAATTCTGTTTAAACTAGTTGTTTGGGGTTTCGCTTCTTGTTAATTGGTTATAGAGAGTGCGGGATTTTATGAGAATATCGCTATGTTTTTATAATAGTTAATTTAGAATAATAAATATTCTAAATTAACTATTATAATAATAATAAATATAGTTAATTTAGAATATCGCTGTTTTTTCCGCGTACAATTTTATACACGTAATCCTGAATGAGTTACTTTAGTTAGCTATTCTGTAATAAGATAAAGGGTTCTGTAGGATAAGGTGGATTTGTAAGTTTGTAAGTTCTTATCTTTGGAAACGCTGGTCGGATTTCCAAAATTCTTTCACTGATAGATGCTACAATGTTCCTGAGTGCTATAGGCTATAAAACATCCTGCTACGATTAAATGGAGTCTGAAAGCAGCTGGAACAGCGGGTGAAACCGCGTGAGAGTAGCTAGTATAATATAATTTTCAATATGAAGTTTAAAACCGCCAATCCACAATGACAATGAAATACTGAAATTTTTGTGGGCAGGTTATTTTTATCGAAGAGCCGTTGAGGTAGACGTGTTCTGGAGTAGAGACTGCGTCTAGCTAGATGGAGTGACAAAAACAGTAAGGTGACTGGCAGCGGTTGGATGATACTGAACTGTAACATCGAGCTCTCAGAGAGAAATCACACTGATGATGAATACGCCTTGAGTAAGCGTGGTGATTAAAGTATAAAGCTTATTAGCGTAGTAAGATGTCTTTGCTTAATATTGGAAACTTACTACTGACAAAACGGGATCACTTTAAATGTCCCTTGTTTACGTTAAGAAATTCATAACTTTTTATTGCTATTATTAGTTTAATATTTAAAATTATTGGTAAACGGAAGCACAGAGCAGACGCAGGAAGTAAAATTATCATAAAAAAAGTAATCAACGATACAATCTAAAATATTTTTAACACAAGTAGAATACTAAACTCATCGTTGGCATTTCATTTCAATTACCAACATATTTATAATCCGTGATCATTAAGAGAGATTTAGCATTATAATAAACAAATAAAATGCACTATAATATTAAGTTATTAAAACAAAAATATTTGTATAACGGCCAATATCTAAATAGCATCCATATATACAATACCAATCAATTCAAACAACTGAAATAAACTCCTATATCTTCGGATTTAAGGTTGTTTTTACATGCGATCTTAAAACTTGGGCTTTCCTGCGCGTGAGCATTCAATTACAAGTAATAACGTGAGTGTATCGAAGCCTATCAATTTGTCAGTCTGTCCGTAACCTCTTTATATGTACATTTTATATTCACTTAAACATTTTGAAAGTAAACTTGTTAATTATGCTCTCATCAGTTTCGTGGGTAATATTTTATGTTTAGGCTCTAGTGTGGGCGATTTAATTTATGAGTGAACTATTTAAAATGGCGTTTTTATTGTTTTATTATTAGTAAAAAATGACGATAAATTCTTAATAGAGTAATATTTTAGAGATTTATATTTAGTAGAGTAACACGGAATAATAACACGTATAAAATGATATTTCAAATTAATTAACTTCTTACTAGTTCGATCAATTATTAGTTCTTTTATAAAAAAAAAAACATAATGTTACATGTAATTTGTCAAGCCGGTATTTTTTTAAACTTTTTTTATTTCGGCTTTGAAAATACAGCATTTTGAGGACGGAATTTCACAGAGCTGTTTTATGTGTTGGACAGATTTCCAACACTGTAATTAAAATGGCGTATCTGTTCTAGGATTTCTCGCTGACAATGGGACCCGGCCTCAAAATACGACCCCGCACTTTGACTGACGTTACAATTTTAATACGATAAATGATCGAAACATATTCCCCACAATATCGACGATTAAATCCAAGATAATTACACTTTCAAAAACTCTATTTATTTTTTGTTACGAATGTCAAAATATCAAAGTTCACGAAGTTAAAATGATTTGCTGAATAAAAAATTTCATTTAGAATTTCGATGGTAAATTTTATTATTAATTTAAATAGAAAATATTATTACCACGTTACTTTCATTTAAGTGTTATTCAACGTCAAGCTAGCTAGCAAGAAACGGATCAATAAGAGTATGTATGTATGTACCTACAGGCATTGTAAAAAAATTAAATTGCAGTCAAATTGTGAAGCTAAAAATGTTTTGTGATGCTTTAATATCCCTTATCTCTGCGACCAACAGTTGTGCAAACTTCGGTACACATAATACTGTAAAAGTCGTTTATATAGAGCTAAAGGCAAAGGTAAGTTTTTCACTTTTAATCTATCACACACATAAAATATTCAGGTATTTCTACCTGGAACATGTAAGTTAAGTAAATCATATTGTTGAGTTTCTGAGTCATACATTACGAGTAAAAGACCTCTATATTTCTAAGAATTATTTTAAGAGTATTATAAAAAAAAACACAACAATAAAACATACAAGTAAATCTTAAACCAAAAACAACTTACTTTCTGATCTCCAAACCGCATCTGTCTTCTAGCATTTCGAGCTACGTTCATTCGGCAGAGGAAAACGCGGTCCTCTCCATCAGTTGGTGCTCGGGACAGTTCCGTCCTCACTGCCTGCTGATCTTGTTTGTCTATCACGTCGTAGACACTGTCTCCATGGATGAGGAGGTCCTCCTGAGGAAGAATTTGAAGTTAAGTTATTAAAGTTTATTATTCTTTTCAATCAATATTTTTCTTTATAACCACTTTTTTATTACTCTGTGAGCGTCCTGTAAAAAATATTGAATAAATAATATTCCGATTGCGATTTTTTTGGGACCCGTTAATCTCTTTTGGTATGGACATAAAAAGGTTTAATTAGACTCCTTTTCTATCATGCATTTTTAGTATGAGATTGACGTGTATGCGTTTTCGATTGTCATTTTTAGTTTGACAATATTAATCAGCAACTTTATGATTTTAATTTACCATAAGATATTATTCATCAGGCGACAGAAGCCAAATGCAAAAATAAATTTAATTGCTTATTATGAAGAGTCCGTGGTTAAATTTAAAACCGCTCAATCAGTAATTTGACCCTTCTTTTTCCTTGTAAGTACTAATTTACAAAATACTGAAATCTGTTCAAAAAGAAAATAACAAAAAAAATATATTGTTAACTTTTTTGAAATAAGTACTTCCTTTAATATACCACACCATCATAAAAATTAAAACAAAAACACCCGTGCACCGTACGGTACACTCATTCATCCACAAAATAATTCTAGACGTAGGAAGCACTGAGGTGGCGGCTCTGCGATTAAAATAATACAATCTGCGGTTTGCACACTGATGAAAATGTCGAGCCAATCTTCCTAAGTATACGCCTCTTTAAAAATAAAAGCGTTTGCTTTAAGTTTGCGGCGACGGATCCGATGGTGATGGTACCGCAATTAGCATTCCGTGTGCACTGAGCCTTTCTTTTGTTGCTATTGTTTTGATTTTGCTAAGAATCTTCGTACGATACACTGGTGTTAGAGGTTTAAGAGGGTGGTATTAGGCGTTAGGTCCAAAAGGAATTAGATCATATCGACCTCTTATCTTGCATACGTTTTTATTCCTTTTTCTGTCAGTTTTGGTTGCAGAGATCTGTAAACGATTTTGTACTTTAAGGATTTCATTATTTAAAACGTGTAGGTATATAATACTAATGGCCAATGAAAGTCTCTAATTGATTGTGACAAGACGTGTTTAGGACAAGAAACTAGTTGTCTGTATTATACCAAATTACAAAGTGCAGTAAATTATGTAGTAATTTCAGTGTAGGAGAGTCATGCTTCGGCACGAATGAGTCGGCTCGACCGGACTTATATCACGGCCTCACAAAAAACCAGTGTGAAATAACCGGAGTTAGATTACCGGAGGTCCACTCCTTCCCTTCCCTCAATATCTCCCCAATGTCTAAATCTCCAAAACGACATACTCGTAACTTCTTTGTTGTTATTGCTTTTTATTTTTTTCTTTATCGGTGGCTCCGATTGCTTTCCATCAAACCAGTTTAATCAGTCTATAGACGATAAAGCACTATGACTTATAAACGTACCTATAAGTAAGTATTTAAACATATGTATAAACACGATTTAAGTTCAATTCTAGGGGTTAAAGTTCAAGAACCATTCAAAGATCTCTTGATTCATGTCTTGTATGGACTACTTGAGCAGTCAAAGATGGCCATTAAATCCTAACTAAATTAAACACGCTGTAGAACATTATTTACCCATTTTATTGGACAGATAACTATATTATAATCCCAGCTAAATAAGCAATTATAAATGAATACCTTTTATGTACTTCAAAATAGAATTTATAACCGACAATTATGATTTTATAACCACCTAACTGCCAACGTTTGACCTAAGGTCAGATGAGGTCAATAAAATTGTAGTACCTAGGTACATAATTTCATCTGTTCTCTGTATAAACAAATTTCAATTAACCCGAGACCGCTTTAATAACTTTAATTAAATCATATTTCTTCCAGCAAAGTAAAGCACAACAGAATTTTCTCTAGATTGCTAGTATTGCGTTTAGCTTAGGGTTGTCAAGAGATAATTGTAAGTAATTTCTTGAATTATTACTTTGTTCTTTTTTGATGAGGTTGTTTGTGTATTTCATTTTTGTAGGTGGTTCATACTTTTTACCTATTTTTATCTTAAATAGCTTGGTTGAATGTTGAGAGGCATTTTTTGGTTTTACCCCAAGGAGGATAAAGGGGGGAGAGAGAGTTCAGGGTTAATCATTCATTTATTATACCCAAAAATTACAGCCTTATAGGTTATGACTATATTCTTACCTATGATTGATAATAGATCACTTAAAGTAGTTAAACTAATTTTATATCAATAATATAATTTTCAAAGTATCCTCATGTAAGTCCAAGTTCACCCCTGACGTTGACGTCATGGCGCGTCACTTAGCCCCGCCCACCTGTCGCGAACTCTCCACGTTAAGACATAATAGTGCGCGCGCGCTCCACCGCCCACGCGCCTGCGCCTGCGCCGCTGCGCTCTACCCGTGGGGGGCGTCCATGTGAACTAGCAAAAATGTATGAAGTAATCTTTGTATGTATTAAAAAAAAAATGTTTTTGTAAATACTTATAATAATACAACTTGCCATATATGTATATATGGCAAGTTGTTCTGTCAAATGTAGGTTATTATTTCTATATTTTTGAATGGTCAGGGTACAGCAACGTCACAGAAGAAAATTGGTAGATAAGGCGGCAAAGGAGCAGATAGATTACCTTGGGGTAAGCAATCGACGCCGCCAGTAATATATACCCACAATACCAGAGTAGTTATAAGCGGTTTGCCACCACAGCAACTACTCTACTTGGGGATTCTTAGATATCTGAAGATTCCTCCGGTAATTTTAGCACTACAATGAAACGTTCAAGGTTTTACTTCAGGTTCGCGGTGACTTTGCGATATCACTTCGTTCAAATGGCCCAGGCGTGTTGAAGCATAGATGAGATGGCAAACAGCCTAAAAATGTTATCTTCTTCAGGAGATTTCTTTTTAAATATTATGACATAACCTTTTCCCAGTTTCTAAGTTTTCCTCTTTATATCTTAACCTTAAACGAATACAAAGTCATAGACCACCAACATTGTTTGAACTTTCCCGTACCTACGGAATTGTCGGTGAAATGAAATTAAACGCACACATTGCATCTAATTGCCGCGGGCTGCCACGCCCTCTAGTGATGAACATACGTAAACACAGTAATGTATGCAAATACGTCAGTTGTGAACCGCTAATTGTAGACCCGTGCCGCATTATGAGAATTTAAATGGAATATTAAAATTTCATGGAGTGTTTGATTGGCTTAAAAACTATAAATAGGAGATTTTTGTTAGGAGTTGACAATGTAAACAAAGTATAGCATATTATGTACATGTCAGCCACAAAGTTCACTCTGAAAACCCTAAAACTTCATCATCTGTCAAAGACTATTCAAGTGTGGAACCTTATGGCAGGTCTTTTTGATAGAAAGGGTGATGAGGACTGTCGAGGAATGTTGATGATGAGAATAGGAATACTTAATAAGATTTAAGAAAACGATTTTGAATCCTATTAAGCAAACAAATTTAAAAGCAGTTTTTATTGCTCCGATTGAGCCGGCCCATTCCTGCCGTAGCATGGATCCGGCATTTAAAATGTTTTCTTAACCACATCTCAAATTGAGGTCTGCAATTGAGACCAAAATCAAAAAGTTAAATATCTAGCAGGCGTTACCCAGACAATATCTTAGAAAATAATTGTGTTGTAAAACAGCTGTTGTGGATTACACCATATGATAGCCGTGGGGACCCATAAATCCCTGACTATTGGGCAGGGGACCGTAAATTATGTGCTAAAACCTCAACTGCACGATTTCACTCAGAAATAAGCACCTGAGCGAACAAGCGATAAATTCATTCCAAAGTGAATTACATCACTGACACTTTAAGTTATTTGCTTTGATTTTTATATTGATTAATAGGTTCGTAATTATTTCTTTTCGGTGCTTCGTTAAGATTTGGTGTTGCTTCATTAAATTTTGTGCGTCAATATTTATCGCAGGGATTTTTCGACGAGTGACCAAGATTGATGAAATCTTACCAATATTACAAATGTAAAATTTTGTGAGATTGTATGGATTTGTTTGTTATTCTATCTCGCAATAACGGATTATTTGGCTAAAATTTGTTATGTAGATCATCACTTATCTACATAACAAATAGGCTCCTTTCTTCAACATACCACGCGGACGAAGCTGCGGGCGGGAGCTAGTTATTTAATATAAGTTTATATCACACTGATTATCCATGAAAAAAACATGACAATCGACCAAATAAGTTGATATACTATGATCTGTATCTCTTTGAAGACGGGTTAGAGAACGCAATTAACAAATGTTTTTTCAATTGAATTCTGTTTTCAAGCTAAAATAAGGACAGTTACCGATTATAACATGTAATTAGAAACACGATTATGCCCAAATAGAAAGGCACAAAACATACGATAGTATAGAGATTCCGTACTATGGTCGAAGTGTTCGGTCCAAATAGAGCCATTTTAATACAAATGCGATTTCCCTCTCAATGAGCAACGATAATAAATAAACAGACCACGAGACTTCATTACTAACTGAATCTGTTTATTTAACAACATTAATACGGCTTCGACTTCGCGGTGGGCCATTGAATTTATATTTGTACCTTTTGAATTATTTGTACTGAGTTCTGTTGCTTTCACTTAGTGTAGGGAAGTGCGGGTACGTAGTGTTACGGTCTTCTTTGATTTTATTGGAGGATGTTGTAAATTATAATTTCGGATTTTAATTTTTTTGAATAGAATTTTTCTTTTTTATTAATTTCTTACACTTTGGCTATCATGTTGCCATAAGTTTTTGGTACGAAAAACAATTGCAGTTATTAAGAATTATTAATTATTTTGTTTTAGAAATGATTGGGCGACAGACAGAAAGTTCAAGTCATAGATAAACAGAATTGGTTGTGACCTGACGACCTTTACTTCAAATATGGCAATACCTGCTGAGCTATTGTTGTTGCCACAAACCATTACTAAAACACCAACAATTCAAACTAGTATTTCGAATCGATTTCAATTCCATCGAGTAAGGAAATCGA